GGGGCGAGACGACATGACCGTCTGCCTTCAAGCCGTGCGCCTCCTCCTCCTCCTCCTCCTCCTCCTCCTCCTCCTCCTCCTCCTCCTCCCCACCTGCCGACTCCGTGGACATTGGTTACGCACAGGATGACTTCAAGGAGCTGAGGCGCTACGTTCGGCGCGCCAAGAAGAGGCGCACAGTTCCAACTGGCACGGCGGCGCTCGAGCTTTGGGACCTCTGCCTCTGGCCTGACAGGGCCATGGACCAGCTGCCCCACGGCGTGGGCTTCGAGAGGACGGCGCAGGGGATGCAGTTGTTCGACGAGACCCTCCTGCGAGCGCTGACGCTGATCAGGCGCACGGAAAAGACTCCCCTGTACTGGCACCGCAGCATGGGCATCGGACTCGCCAAGAACGACAAGCCTGGTATGAAGGGAAGGAGAGTTATTCACTCCCTTCCCGCTGTGGGAAAGGGATACTTCGCGTACAAGCTCAAAGCGCAGCTGGCCCCACAGGATCACGGATTCGCACCCCACCGACGTAGGGAGGGAGCTCTGCTGGCGACCCAGGTTCTGGCGTGGCGCCTGAGGCAGTCGGGCTGGTCGTGTGTGGCAACACTCAAAGACATGGCGAACGCCTTCGGCAGCGTGTCCTGGGAAAGGTTCAATGGGGTCATCCTAGACGAGGGCTTGGTGGAGCCGCAGAACCAGACGCTCTGCCGTGACAGGTACCGCCTGTCGGTCGTGGAGGTGGACACGAGCGACGGGGTCCTCTTCTTGAAGACGGGCGAGGGCGGCCTCATGGGGGACCCGTTCGTGGTGCAGGCGGTCGCGGCGGCCTCTGTCGCCCCGTTGACAAGTGGTCCCAGCGACTGTCGATGGTGGGGATCACGGGACCGCTGCGCGGGGGCTTCGAGGACTTCACCATGGATGTCTCGTTGGCCAAGTACGCCGATGACCTGTATCGCGTCATACCCTTGGAGGTCGGTTGTGACATGGACGAGGCCCTCAGGAGGATGAAGAGCAGCGATGACATCCTGGACGAGTGCCTTACGCAATATGGGATGGCGCAGAATCGCGACAAGCAGGTGGCGTGTTTCTTGGTCCAGGGGACGGGCTCGCAGCAGTGCAAGCGGTGGCTACAGCATGCCATCGCACGGGGACGAGTCGACGGACGAGTCGAGGAGGCGACGAGGTACCTGGGGCCGATCGTCACGCAGGACGCCTCGGCTGCCATCGAGGTGGAGCGTAGGATGGCGGCTGCCCGAGCCGCCTTCTATGCCATGGCAGGTTTCTGGTCTGCCAGCACGCCGCGACGCTGGCGGCGCACGGTACTGATCGGTTTAGTGCAAAACACCCTCTTGTCGGCACTTGAGTTTTTTTTGTTTTTTTTTCATTTTTTTCACTGTCTCGCCTCCCTCTGTAAGATTGCTATGCACGGTGCCGCATGCGAACGCAACGAACAGGGGGAGGTCACTGCCCGCATGTGTTCTCAAGAGATCTTGGCTTCCTGGCAATTAGTGCAGTGCGAAATGGAGCTCCGAATCCGTAGGCTAAGCTGGTATCAATCTTGGGCCTCTCGGACTCGGGTGCGCGCGCACGTTTTAGCAATGCTCTTTGGGGCCCTTGGTTTTGAACCTGCGGAAAAGCGGCCGTGTACAGAGGATGGCCTTAGTCAGTTTGCGAGTCCCTGGGCCAAACGCATCCAGGACGACGTTCGAGCCGCGATCGAGGTCATGCCCGACGACAGGGATGTGCTTTTGCGTGTCGCGGGCCGTCCCTGGCTCCTTATCGGGGATAAAGAATTATCTGAGGAGTTCGTTCGCCTGGATTTCAGGCGTCTGCGTAGTCACCATTTCACGGTCACAATTGCGCCCCCTGGCCCACTTTGCGGTGTCTCTGACCCTGGTGCCCCTGGTGGGCTCGGCCCCCTCCCCGACCTTGTTGCCCTGTACGTGTGTTCCTGGCCGAAAGGGGAGGGGGCGCAATGTGGCGATTCTTTCTGCACGAAGAGGGGGCTCACTGAGCACTAGAGGCACAAGCACGGCGCGTATAATTTAGCTGCTCTGCTTTGCCCGTCCAACGAATGTATTGTGCGTAGGAAGATTTTCTGGAATAGGCAAACGGCCTATCGACACCTTGAGGGTTCGATATTCAGGGGGCATTGCGGAACGAGCGGGCCGAGTGCGATTGCGACCAGAGTTGAACCGAGGGATCTTGCGTGCCGCATTTGCTCGTGCGAGTCGGCTGACTACGACGACCTCTGTAGCCATCTGCGGGCTCATCTTCCCTGGTCGGTTTCTTCGGGGGCGTGTTTCCTCGCGCGGCAGCGACTTCGCCATGACCTCGGACGTGGCGATGCCCTCTTGGATGGCGAGGGCGGCCTCGCCCCCTGCATCGGCGCCGCGCCCGAAGCGGGGCAAGGCAGGCAACCGCATGGAGAAGGCCGACCAGCTGCTGGTCATCATCGCGAAGCTGGCCCTCGCCACGGCCCGACAGGCGGCGCAGCTCGAGAGCGCGTGCTACACCGCGATGTTCATCAGCGAGGCCGAGGGCAGCCTCGGGCAGGTGTGCCGCAATAGCGGCATCGAGTACGACGGCGAGAGCAAGAGGCTCCGCGAGAAGGTCGCGGGCGGGGAGTCGGTCGACTTCAAGGCCCGCGGGCCGCCTCACGTCCACCTCTTCGGCGCCATCATCAAGCGCAGCATGGAGATCACGGCGCCGGGGGGGGGGGGGCTCCGAACGCAGACGGGCACAAGATCTTCCTCGAGTACTGGCAGCAGGTCATCGCCGCCAAGAAGCCACAGGAGATCGCGGAGCAGGTCCTCTACTGCAAGCATCGCAAGGCGAGGGCCACGGGCGAGGA